GCGCAGCAACGAAGACCCAACGCAGCCAAAGAAAAACCCCCAAACCCCCCCAAAACAAAAAAAGAAAACCAAAAAACAAAAGAAAGAAAAAAAACCCAAAAAACAAAACAAAAGAAATAAAAAACCAAACCAAAACAAACAAACAAAAAAGCCATGGGAGCCAGAAGATTACAAAATTTTTCAAATGCTAGAAAAAAAGGACCACAAACTGTAAATTTTATATCTGATGAAATTATCCTTCAGGAATGGAGAAGTAAAGAAAACCTCAGATGCAGAAAAACAAAGAATTTGTTGCCAGCAGACCTACCCTTAAAGAACTGGTAGAGGAAACTCTCCAACAGAAAGGAAATAGCAGAAGAAGGCTTGGAACTTCAGAAAGTAAAGAACAACAGAATGGGTAAAAACAGAGTAAATTCATTACACTGTCTTTCTCTTCATTAGTTTCTTAAACCATATTTGATGGTTAAATCAAAATTTATAAAACCATCCGTAATAGTGCTCAATGTATATAGAGGAAATACATAAAATAATCATATTTTTAAAGTGGGGGAGGGTAAAGGGACCTACATGAAAGTAAGATTTCAATACTTCATTCTAGTGTTAAAACATTGATACCAGTAGATGGTGATGTTACATATGTATACTGTAATAGAGTAACCACAAAGAAAACTATACAAAGAGATAAACTCAGAAACACTATAAACAAGAACAGAATTCTAAAACTGTTCCATTTACCCACAGGAAGGCAAGAGGAGATAAGAAATTGAGAAACAGAAGGATCAAACAGGAAACAAGAGATTGGAAAATCTGTAAGTTATGTGGCTACTTCTTCAGTGGTAATAGCAATATAATATAGAACTGCAGTAGTATGCTGTTCGACAAATGTAACTAGATCCCAGGCTTTGCTTTTTAGATTTGTCGTAATTTCAAAGAAACTCTAACAACTCGGTAGCTGCTGTTCAGCAACAGGTTCAATTCTGCTCAATGAAGACGTATTTAAAAGACAGGAAACAGGGCTTCCTTGGTGGCGCAGTGGTTGAGAGTCCGCCTGCCGATACAGGGGCCATGGGTTTGTGCCCCGGTCCGGGAAGATCCCACATGCCGCGGAGAGGCTGGGCCCGTGAGTCATGGCCGCTGAGCCTGCGCGTCCGGAGCCTGTGCTCCACAACAGGAGAGACCACAACAGTGAGAGGCCCGCGTACCGCAAAAATAAATAAATAAATAAATAAAATAAAATACAGGAAACATAAAAGCTTCTAGTCACCTACTATTAACTTCTTTAAGCATTTAAATATTATCTTGATTATTTTATTATTTTCTTATACACACCTTAATTTTCTATCCTTTATAACTTGATTCTTTTTTTTTTTAAAGCAGATTTACATAGACTTTTTTTTTTTTTGGCATGCGGGCCTCTCACTGTGTGGCCTCTCCCGTTGCGGAGCACAGGCTCCGGACGCGCAGGCTCAGTGGCCATGGCTCATGGGCCTAGCCGCTCCGCGGCATGTGGGATCTTCCCGGACTGGGGCACGAACCCGTGTCCCCTGCATCGGCAGGTGGACTCTCAACCACTGCGCCACCAGGGAAGCCCAGACTTTATTTTTTAATTTAAATTTATTTATTTATTTATGGCTGTGTTGGGTCTTCGTTTCTGTGCGAGGGCTTTCTCTAGTTGCGGCAAGTGGGGGCCACTCTTCATCGTGGGGCGCGGGCCTCTCACTATCGCGGCCTCTCTTGTTGCGGAGCACAGGCTCCAGACGTGCAGGCTCAGTAGTTGTGGCTCATGAGCCCAGTTGCTCCGCAGCATGTGGGATCTTCCGAGGCCAGGGCTCGACCCCATGTCCCCTGCATTGGTAGGCAGATTCTCAACCACTGCGCCACCAGGGAAGCCCTATAACTTGATTCTTAATAGAAATTTTTATGAGTTGTTGGTTTGACATCCTCATTTGTATTTGCATACTCAGGAAAAATTCAGAGGCTTCAGAATGGTGTTTGTTAACAGACAGCTGTTAACAAAATGTAATTTTTAATATGCCTATTGGGGACCTCACATACAGTTTGGCTCTCGATCAAGAGTCCACTATATACATATACAAGAAGTACAAAAGAACAGATGCTCTGCCACAAGATTAGAATCAATGAGCTGAAGTCCTGCTGTATTTTTTACTCCTTTTATTTATTTATTTGAGGGGGGAGTTGTCTTTGTGTGCTTTGTCCCTCAGACTTTTTTCATCCTTCTTTACTGGTGCTCATTTGTTTTCTAGACTTTGGCCTAAGCGGTACCAAGGTAAATACAGGCTCTATCTTTATTTTTTCTATATCTTCAGTTTATATCATACTTTGACATGTGCTTGCCTCTGTCCTGGTCCAAGCTTCTGGTTCTATCAGCCTGATCCCAAATGACCTCAGGTCTTGGTATGATAATCCCACTATTCCTTCAGAGACCAAGAATATTATTCTTCCTTTTGTGTATTTAAAATTATTGTGATTTTTACCTGTTAGCAATATGTAGATTTTTTTCAGTTTCAGTAAACTCTGTGAAACTCAAAACCAAAATCATGCCTATTATTATCTCTTGCTTTTCCATTAAATGGTATAAAAATTCAAGGAGAGTTATAATTATCAAAGGTCTAAGCAAATGTCATACAAGTAAGACATTATGCGATAATTTTTTTCCTGGAAGAAGGAAGTTAATTAGGAAAATGAAAAATTGTTGATTGGAAGAATCTTTTGTGCTGTATTTCATAAAAAAGTACACTGTAAGTGTCAGTTTGGGAAGATGAGAATGTTCTGGAGGCAGATGGTGATGACGGTTGCACAAAGTAAATGTATTGTACTTAATGTACACTTAAAAATGGTTAAAATGGTAAATCTTGTATTATGTATATATTACCACATAAAAAACGTATACCAGTAAATTACACTCCTTTTAAAGATTCATATTAAAACATACTCCTTCATTTTAAGCTAAGTGACACTCTCATTTCTTAAAATATTCATGTAATAAACATTCTTCAGTAACTCAGTTTGTGTTCTAAATTGCTTAACAAATTGCTTGAGCTTCTCTACTACAGGATCGGCTGGAGAAAGGCACAGAACGTGGTGTTAGTAAAAGTAAAAACATCTTCTTTAGCCAACGGTATTGGGTCTTCTTGTTTACAAAATCATCATACAAAACATGCTTTCAACGAGTTTGAAAAATGGAGTCTCAGCTGATGCCTCTAAAACTGGAGATTTAGATTACAAATGGCTCCACAAAACTGAAATCTTGAGGGCAAGGATGTTTTAGTAATGGTGCAATTGCCAGAACCAGGCAATAGATGGCATTTTTGTAGGCACCCAGGGCTTTTGGAATAAAATATCTCGTAAATTCCCACCTTGCATCTTGTCTGTGTGTATAAATATGAAGCTAGCTCTTTGGTTTTCTCCACTTTCCAGGCTAAATCTCACTACCAGATGTCCAAGTTAATTTTAGTTTGGCATCTTATCTAAAATGATCCTCCAAAATGTGTAGTAGTAGTAGTAGTAGTAATAACAATAATGATAATACCCAAATTGACTATAACATCACAAAGAGAGAAAGTTCTAGGAAGAACCTCACGGATGGAAGTCTAAAATTGGGAGTCATCAGCAAACAGGAATATTTCAAGTCATGAGTCTAGATGAAAATAAACATGGAAATCAACGTTTAGGGGTACAGAAGCAGAGCATGGTTTGGAATAGTTCTCCAACAAGGAATATCCTATCCTCTTGTGCTTTCACCAGGCTTCATTTTGCCAAAACAGATCTATCCCATTCTTCAATAACTCGACCTAATTACCACATTTCCTCGATTCTAACTTGTACTTTTTTAGTATTACTATCATTGAAAATCAAAGTCCTGTCCTCCCCTCCCCCTTTTCTCCCTCTCCCCACCTCGGAACACCTGCTATTAAATTGATGGCCCATTTTACAATTGAGAAAATAAATGCACTAGCTACATGTGATTTTGCCTACAGGGTAAAAACTTCCAGCTCTACAGCCTGAAACTTCTCTTGCAAAGGGCTTTTTCAGGTAGTATCCTACTGGTCGTCCCAAATTTGTGGGAGTAATGGGGAGGAGGGCTAACCCATCACCCCGCCACCCCCCCCGTTTTTTTTTCCTTTAGAGGAGAGGTTAGGCACAAGGCGGCTGTAGCCGCTTGTCTGAAGTCTGTAGCGGTATCACAAACCCAGAGCCAGGTCCTCCTGGACCAATCCTAAACTGGATTCTTAAACTGACAAAAGTTTGCGATGTGCCCCCGTTCAACCCGATCCGTAGCAGAGCAGAGGCCAGCACAGCTACCCTATGGAAGGCTTCTGGCCTCACCCTAAGTCCCCAAGGTTAGCGCCCACAGCATATTCTTGCCCCAACCATCTGACTCTGGCTCTGATCGCTTACGGGTAGTTCTCATCCACTGGAGCAGAGCTGGGAGGTCTGCTGGAGCCACCGTACGGAGTAGCTGCAGTACTGCTTGCCGAGCTGAGCCGAATTCCATGTTGGAGGAAAAAGCAGAGCAGGGGAAGGTTCGCACTGCGCACGCGTAGGCGTAGGCAGAGGCGGGTCCAGACACCTGATTCGACCCGGGGTGGAACCCGCCTCCCTTGGCTGCTAAAGTCCTAAGCCCCGCCCCCTCTTTGGAGTTCTCACTTGCTCCCGGGAATTCCTACACGCAAACATCCCTACACCCCCATCTCTCTCCGCTGGTGGTGCTCAGCCAAGTCATTTTTTCTTAAGGTGGCGCCTGGAGGCTGGACTTCTTTCCAGAGATCGCATCCCTAGAGAGCTTCCTAACTTAATACTAACTTTAATGCCGCAGTTATTGAGCGATAGAAAACGAATGTCAAAAGCCAGTCAAAGCAAACAAACATCTCAATAAACCCTTTCGGTAAACGCACTGAAGGAACGCGGCGGGTGCCCCGGAAGCGGAAGTGTATCCTCTTCATGAAAGGCTGGACTACGCCGTGTGGTGACGTTACCACATTGGGCGGAAGGTTCGGTGGCAGTCATCGGTCTTCCAGCTGGTGGGGGTTGGCGTCGCGGTGCTGGGCGCTGGGGCCCTAGTTTATGTGGGGTAGCACCTGTCTGTCTGACCCCCGCTTTCGTTGTTTTCCTCCCACGGCGTGGGGCTTCGCGAAGGACTCCCCGGCCCGTTTGGGTCACGGCTGTAGCGGTACCTTTTGCGGTAAGTGTCTGCTTTTTCCCGCTCAACACTACCGACTAGCAGCTAGGGGCAGCCCTAACCCTGCTTAGGGGGCTAGACACTGGAGGGAGTCGGCGTCCTAGGCCACCGGCTGTCGTCACCGAGACGGAGGTGCGCTGGCCCTTTTTCATCTCGTGTCTCCCATCAGAAGTTTTTTTTAAAAGATGCGCTTGTGACCCTTTTAAAATTGTCTTCAGATTTACCCGAGCCAAATTAAACGTAAGCAGTTGCAGGCTTGACTTTGTTTTGCTGTCGTGATCAAGGATTTAGATGTGGCTACTTCTCCGAAAATCTTTTGACTTGTACCAGATTTTATTTTTCCATGTTAACTTGTGACTAATTAACACATTGTTCCGCCGATAGTAGGCTCTCAAAAATGAATAAGGGATACCAGTTCAGTGCCGTTGACGACTTAAGGTATACTGATGGCTCTTTCCGTAGCATTTGGTGCTGCTAACCATTTCCTGAAGCTCTTTCGCCTATTGGAGTTCTGGATGCTATTATCACCTAGTTCTTTCATATGCTTCATTCAACAAAATATTTACTCATTCTTAGCTATAGTGATACAGAAATTAATGACATGAACCCTGGCACTGAAGAGCTAACAGTACGGTGAGAGAGAGGCACATAAATATACATCACACCAAGATGAGTAATGAGAAATTCTAGTAAGGCATAAAGAGCCATGAGAGCTATGGGAACACAGATGACAGTGTGCTACTTAGGAGATTTGTGACCCTGAGCAAGTTGTTATTCTGATCTAGCCTCAGTTTCCTCATCTACCTAATAAGCTTAGTATGAGGATGAAAGATTAGGTAAGGTGTTTGGTACAGTGCCCAGAATACAGCAGTGGTGGTGCCAAAGGGGAGGGGAAATATTTCCCTCAAACCTCTTTCCTTTGATTTTTTGATCTGATCAATTAGTATTTTCCAACCGAATATGAAGTACTGTGCAAAAACATCTTCAAGCCCTCCTTCAAAGTGATTACTCCTGTAACTCCACCTGTCTAGAAATTCAGGACCTGCCACCAGAATACAGTAAGATACCCATTAAGTGGTCGCTTTTCTTTGTTTTCAATTGATTTGCTTCTGAATGCCTTCGGAGAGGGAAAGGGAATTAGTAAAAGCTTCTATCCTTTTGATTATTCTCAGTCTTAGTTGACTTTCTCCTTTCGGTTGGCCCTTCACCATGGCTCTAACCCAAATGCTCTCATCTACTTCCATGGTATTATCCTGGTATGCCAACCATTTCCACATCTTTTTCTCTGGCCTCTGTTTCATGAAATAGTTCTTTAGTTTCTGCAAATTCAATAGGTCTAAAACCAAACTCACTCTCTCCACCTTCCTTTTTTTCCCTTTCTAAATGACATACGTCCTACGCACAAAAGTGCATAAAAGCAGGGATTCCTAGTGTATCTTTGAGTTTTGGCCCCATGTTTTAGTTGAATTTTGTGATATTTGTTTGTTCAGTTTTTAAAAGGATAATAAAATGAACACTCAATATCCAACCTAGTAGAAGAACATTACAAATAACCTTTAAAGCCCCTTGAATCATTTCTCTATTAACTCTTTTTTTTTTTTTTTTTTGCGGTACGCGGGCCTCTCACTGTTGTGGCCTCTCCTGTTGCGGAGCACAGGCTCTGGACGCACAGGCTCAGCGGCCATGGCTCACGGGCCCAGCCGCTCCGCAGCACGTGGGATTTTCCCGGACCGGGGCACGAACCCGTGTCCCCTGTATTGGTAGGCGGACTCTCAACCACTGTGCCACCAGGGAAGCCCTCTGTATTAACTCTTTAACTTTCAAACCAGCTTCTCTTTTTGCCTTCCATTCATTGGTTAATGGCATCACTAGCCACCTGGTTAGTCAAACTAGAGGCCTTAGAGTCATTTTTGCCTCTGTTTCTCTTTCATTCTCCATAACCATTTGGTCATTAGGTCCTATAAATTCTGCTTTATGGTTAGCCCTTGGCTTGAGCCCCTTCCCCTCATGTTCTTCAAGCCCACATCTCTTGAATAGACTTTTGGAGTATGCTTAGTGTATATAGTCTCCTTGCTCTCCCTTCAATGCATTTGCTACATTGTCTCTAATTTTTAAATTATAGAACAGGTGTTTCATTCTCTTGTTTCCCTTGAGGAGTGTTGCTTCATGCAGTGATTATTAACCCTGGCTGCACATCAGTATAGCCAGTGAAGTGTTTCAAAACGTAGATGCCTTGTTTTGCTCTCCTAATCATGAATTTAGATGAGGCCACTTCCCCCATAATCTTGTGATGTTACCATCCCTAGAGATTCTAATTGAGTATTTAATTTTTAGCTGACAGGTGTTAGCTGAATGTCACTGAAATTACCCATCGCTTGGGCATATGCCTCATCCCTCCTCATCCATATTTTCATTCTGTGTTTATTTCAACTTCAAGGCAAACTATTTCCAAGGAATTCTTTTGACTTTGTTTTAATTTTCCTCTTGGTAACAGTTTACATAAAGATTCTTTTTATGAATGACTTGAGAGCCAAAAAGTATCTTAAAGAATTGATTCCCAGTGTTTTTGAGTTATTACGCATTGTTGCTTATTGAATTTTTGGTATACCTTTTAATATTAAAATGAGTTTTAAATTCAAAAACAATTATTTTAATAAAGAGAATATTTCCTGATACTACTTTGGTGCAAAATAAGGCAGGGAAGTCAGTGGTGGTATGATGCATAATTTATCTTCTGAAATTAACAGAGGAGTCTTGTCTTTGTTAACTTGATGTAATTTATTGATTTGGAGTTAGAACTTTTCTCATGCTGGTACAATTCCTGGAGCACATAGTAGGTGTTTAATGAGTGACTAAAATGAATAAAAGTCACAACTCCATCTCAACCTCTAGTATAATATCATTCTAATTCTCACAGAGCATTTTGAAAAATAATTAATTTTCCCCTTAACAAAAAATAATACTCTTAGTCATTACCAAAAACTTGAAAATTGCAAAAAGATATAAATTAGAAAATAAAAATTACTAGTTATTCACCATCCAGAGGTGACAAATATTATTATTTTCTAAAAGTTTTACTGAAATAAAATTAACATACCATACAGCTCACCTAAAGGGTACAATTCAGTGGTCTATAGTGTATTTGCAGAGCTATACAACCATCACCACCATCAATTTTAGAACATTTTCATCACTCCATGAAGAAACTCCATACCCACTAACACTCACTCCTCATTTTCCCCCTTTCCCAGGCCCTAAGCAACTATTAATCCACTTTCTTTCTTTACAGATTTTTCTCTTCTGGACATTTCATATAAGTAGAATCATGTATATTCTTTTGTCACTGGTTTCTTTCATTTAGCATAACACTTTCAAGATTCATCCATGTTGCAGCATGTGTCAGTACTTCATCTCTTTTTATTATCAAATAATATTCCATTTGGTGGGTATACCACATTTTATTTATCCACTCATCAGTTGAGGGATATTTGGCTTTTTTTCACTTTTTGGCTAGTATGAATAATATTGCTAATGACCATTCAAGTACAATTCTTTGTGTGAATGTGTGTCTTCCTTTTTCTCACATGTACCTGGGAGTGGAATTGCTGGGTCATACAGTAACTCTGCGTTTAAAATTTGGAGGAATTGCCAGACTTCCAAAGGGCTGTACCATTTTACATTCTCACCAGCAGTGTACGAGGGTCTGATTTCTCCATGTTCTCACCAACAGTTGTTATTATAGCTATCTCAGCGTGGGTCAAGTGGTGTCTGATTGTGCCTTTGATTTACATTTCCTTCGTGGCTAATGCCGTTTTTTGGATATTAGTTTATACAAAATACAATATATGCAGTTTTGTAATCTGGCTTTTGCATATAAGCATATTTTTAGCGTTAGCAAGCATATTTACAAAAGATTTTCCCTCATTTCTTCTTTCCTCTTCATTCCCCCCAAACCATAATTCTTATGACAATTTGCCTAAATTATATGCATAAAAAATAAAATCTATAGGAATGTATTCCAAAGTATTATTGGTGGTTATCAGGGGACAAAAGAGGGGGTAGGGTTAGGGGAATTATATTTCTACCTTTAATGTTTCTGTAATGTTTGAATTTTTATAACAAATGTGTATCCTCTTGTAATCACAAAACATAAAAGTGAATTATTTCTTTAGAGGACTAAGTATATTCACAATGAAAAAATATTCCTAAATTTAAAGTCATTAACATTATATTAGTTATTCAGATATAGTCATTTTACCAAATAAAATACCAGTAGTCCACTTTGTTAAATAGTTTACTTTTCTGTGGTTCTAGACTATGAATACATAGGCTATGCAGAATTAAAAAAAATATATATATATACATACACACACACACATACATATATATACACATATATATTTAGTCAGGAAAGCAAGTATTGGTTTGGGCTATTGACTAATTTATAGAAAAGTATATAATATAGAAGTCATTTTTCTAAAGACATTTACTAATAATAGTATATTTGTATATTTAGTTCTTTAGTCTAATATTGATCCAATAAGTTAGTCATTGACTAGGGCTTAGAAGAACTTTTTAATAGGCATTTTCATTATAATAAAATTTGGAATCTCTAATCGTTAGGATCTGTTTGTATAATCTCAGATCGGGCAAGGTTCTGGCAGTATTATTTTTAATTGCTTATGTAGAGAAAAGTGGCTGTTTGGACACTCCAGCTTCTATTGAATAATAACCAGGTACACGTAATTCACACTAAATGTTAAATATTCTGGGGGAGTGATTCCTGGGTAGTGGGACAGTCACTTTAGTAGAGTTCAGAAAATTTCCAGTTTACTCACACTTCAGTTAACGATATAGGGAGAGCCAATTGATATCATTCAAGAAAGGAAGGAAAATAATAGTTAATATACTGTGCACTTGCAGGCAGTTTTATACATATTGTCTCATTTAATCCTCACAACAACCTTTCAGGGTAACTACCTTGATAATGGTATTATCTCCATTTTGCAGGTGAGGAAAGTGAGGCTCAGAGAGATTAAGTAACTTGCCCAGAGTAACCCAGCCAGTATGTAACAAAGCTGGGATTTGAATCCAAGTTTGTCAGACTCCAAAGCCCATGCTCTTTCCAGTACTTCACACTGCAGCAGGTAAGTATGATACTTGGCCCTGTGCTTGCCTTATTTAGGGCACCCCAAACTTGAGACTGTTTCCATCACCTCACAATCCAACTCTTAGCCAGACTCCTGTTAGAAGAACATGTGATGGGCCAAGATCAGTCCTTGCACGTCCTGATTGCAGTGGTACTTATCAGTTCTTTCTGGACATTGCAATTATTACTCTTCTATGAAGAGGAATGTGCATCTTTGCTTTCAAAATATGATTTCCTTTCTTGTAGTATAGCAGCAAAATTCATCCCAGGAGTTCGCCAGCAGGCATATTCAACCGTATCGTCTAAAGCATCCATCATTCATACTCTAGGACCTAAGGCTCTGTGTCCAAGGGACTGTAGGAAGTCATTATGCTTTTTTTGTAGGGAATGGCTGTTCCATTCCTTCACCTGCTTATATGGTAAAATTGTTGTGAGGGTGGAATGAGATAATAGATGTTAAACTATATGAAGTACTATATAGTAATCCCTTACCTTTCCAACAGCCCCATCTAGGTAGAGATTCTTCTTTTGTGAAACTAGTACAGGTATACACATAATTACTTCTATAAATCTTTTCAGTTAGCAGAGAGAATTTTGAGTGAGGGTGCTTAAACAGTAAATTATTCCAATTTGAGATATAGGGTTAGCTATTAACATTAAAAAAGATATTTTGTATTTTAGTGTGCATATTAGAACAAGGCGAAGTTAATTTTTAAGAATCTTGTTGGAAATTCTGAAAAGTTATAATAAATAAGGCAAATGAATACTAATTGTACAATATCAATTATCTAGGTCATTGGTTTTTTTTATTTGTCATGTTATCTTCATTGGTTTATTTTAGTGGTCTTTTGAGAGATATTTGTAAGGCCTTTCATGACTTTGGTTCCCTAGTCTTGCTTTTTCCCTAAGGTCTTAAATACATCATTCAACCATAAGGTTCATTTTTACTAAAGGCTTACTACATAGGCTGAAGATAAATAAAGCATTGAGCCACAGAAGAGAGCAAAAGAGGCAAAAATCCCTGACCTCATGCAACTTATGTTTCAGTTGAGGGAGCTAGACTGCAAATAATATACAGTTGACCCTTGACGACAAGGGTTTGAACTGCGTGGGTAGACTTATGTGCAGATTTTTTTCAATATAGTACCTGTATTTTCATTTTACAGACTTTTAAATTAAGTGTGGGGATAAGTTTGTGTTCAATTAGAGATCACAATATGTGGAATCATAAGAACTAGGATTTGAGTCAATTCTATCCAAACTGTTTCCGCTTCCTGCCTTTGGGTGGAGTCAGTTTCTTTGTTTTTGAGGCACAGATAGCAGTGCGTGGATTTTCTGTGGAAGGGGTCGGTGCCACTAACCTCCCTTTGTTCAGGGGTTAGCTGTAAGTAAATCATGTTAGTTGGTAAGAAAACAATGAGAGAAAATGAAGAGAAGGGAGGCTGCAGTTTTAAACAGGTGATGAGGGAAGGCCTCATTGAGAAGTTGCATCTGGACAACAGCAGTCCGACAGAGATGAGGGAGGGAGCCATATAGTTAACCAGAGTATGAGCATGCCATCTGGTACTAAGGCCCTGAGGTGGAAATGTGTAGCAACAGCAGCAAGTAACAGAGTCCTCCGGGGAGGGTGAGGAGAGTGCCTTATAGTCCATTCTGAGGACTTTACCTCTGCGTGAAATGGGAAGTCGTTGAGGTTTTGAATGGAATTTTAATACCAGAGTTTTCAGAAACACATCCTTGGAAATTGCAGGAGAAACACTGTATTAATAAAAGGTATTATTAGATATTATTCCCCTACTGAAGTGTAGGTTTTTGTAATCAGGCAAATATATTTTAAAATATGCTACCAATAAGTACTTACGTAGGAAAACTGTATTGGAAAACTTCACAGAATTAAAAAAATTTTTAATTTAAAAGAGCCAGTCACCATGGGAAGATAAGAGTTAACTGGTGTAGCTTTTTAAAATGGAGGATGAAAAAATAAATAAATAAAATGGAGGATGATCTGTTTATGACATGATCTCTAAAAAAAGCTAATTGTGGTGTCATAATTAGGATTATATTACTCCTGGTAATGCAGTGGTAAAGGAGATAAACTGAAACACCTATCAGATAACTGAATCTTATCTCTTACCTGAAGAATATTTACTTATGTGCTAATAATTTGGTATAATGAGTATGGGATAAGAAGTTAAAAATTCTGGGGCTTCCCTGGTGGCGCAGTGGTTGAGAGTCCGCCTGCCGATGCAGGGGACACGGGTTCGTGCCGCGGCCCGGGAAGATCCCACATGCTGCGGAGCAGCTGGGCCCGTGAGCCATGGCCGCTGAGCCTGCGCGGCCGGAGCCTGTGCTCCGCAATGGGAGAGGCCACAACAGTGAGAGGCCAACGTACCGCAAAAAAAAAAAAAAAAAAAAAAAAAAAAAAAAAAAAAGAAGTTAAAAATTCTGGATTTTTTCTACGAAGTGGTTGCTCTTCCAGCTTACGTAACCATGTAATTGTAAAAAACAGAAAATTATGGTAAGTACATTTTTTCAGTTCCATCAGGTATTTCTAGTCAGCAGTCTGGCAGGCTTGAGACCCAGGAAGAGCTGATTTTGAGTCTGAAGGCAGAAGAAAGCCTATGTCCCAGTTAGAAGGCAGTCAGGCAGAGGAATTCCTAGATTCACTTTATTTTGCTGCTATTCACGTGCCTTGTCTTGCTAGCTAGTAGGTAAGCAACTTGAGGGCAGGAAATACCAGTCATATTTGCTTGCTTACCATCCATGAGTCCTTGCATCCTGACTTACGTGTAATAGGTACATCTACCTATTTTATAAAACCGTAACATTTTAGAGCTGGAAGGGGCCTTAGGGGTTATCTTGTTTTAGAGTTGGGGAATCAAGAACAGCTTTTTAATAATACACCTCTTTCCTTAGTTTTTAGAAGAATGAAATGAGATAATGCAATGTGCGTGAAAAGTTAAGTGATTTACTAATTTTAAGACTTTTTTTTTTTTCACTTAGAGCATAAATCAAAATAGTTGTCCTTTAATTAGGCAATATTCCTGGGTGGAGATTTCACCTTTTTCTTTCTTTGTCTTTCTCACCCTTTTTTTCATTTAAAAATGTACATAACACATCAGTCAGTTATTCATATTTACAAGTATGTCCAAAATGAATACATTTAATTTGAGATGTCATCATTTCTTCAAAGCATATTATCTGACATGTTAAATTTGCTGATTCATACAGAATATTCCAGTTAGGTATTCAGATATAAGCCATCATAACCAAGTGGTAGCTTCAGCTTCTGGACCTGACAGTATTGAAGATGTAGGTTGAGGCTATAGAAGTTGAAGTTACAGTATCTAAACACTAGAGTACTTTAATTTGAACTAACTCTTCTTTAGAAGCCTTCAGTTATGGGAACTGGTGTTGATTATTTATAGATGTTTTAATTTTTTTCCTTCCTAGAGTTTCTTGTAATCACGTCTTAAAGTCTTCAGGATGGTACTAGCAGACCTTGGAAGAAAAATAACATCAGCATTACGCTCATTGAGCAATGCCACCATCATCAATGAAGAGGTATGTAAAATGTGTAAAATACATGTGATTGTACATCATCACTAGCATTGGAGGTGGATGATTAGTAATCTCTATGTAAATACCAGTAGATAAAACCCAGAAATGGATACACTAGATAGCGTTTTTTATTGAGAAATCAACTGTCTTAATTTCAACTTTCAGTAATGAATTACCCCCCAAAAAACAAAACAAAAACCACCTTAACTTACATGTAATAATGATGTACCTTTTATATTTTGAAAATGGCTTAGAGCTGGAAATACACTTTTGCTTTCTCTCTTGACATTGGCCTAAAACTTTAGTATCCTGCTTCTTCTTGACTAGGCGTGCATGTATCTGACCTTTTCTCCTTGACTTTTATTTAGCATTCTTATAAAAGGCTAGTATTTCCATCTTGGCTACTGTGATTCATTTCCTCTGTAATCCTCATTCATTTGTTTTGGAAATTTTGTAAGCTGACTCCTTATATGGTATCTGAAATACTTTTCCTCCAGGTTTTATTATTTTAAGTTTAAGGTATTTCTTTCTCCCATTTTTTTCTCCACACATTGTATCTTAATGGTTTGTCAACTGAAAAAAGAAGATTATAGTATACTTTATATTTTGTGGTACCAATGGGAAAGTACTGAATTTGGTTTTAGAAGACCTTGTTTAGCATCCCACTAAACAAATGGTAGAGATTTGAGCAAGTCAGCTTCAGATTTCTTAATGTATAAAATGAGAAAATAGCATTTACCTTTCAAGATGATTTTAAGGATCAAATGAAATAATAGATAAAAAGTACTTTCTAACTTGGAGGTTTAAAAAAATTCTAAGATAGAATTTGATATCAACACTTTAATAAGCTAATGGAATTAAATAATTTGGGGACCATCTTTGAGCTCGGCTAGTCCAGCCTCTTATTTAACAGCAACGGAAAGTCAAGTTTCACATGTTTATTTATTGGAAGAAACAGGATTAGAATCTTTTTTCTAATTCCTATTTTTATAATTTTCCTAATTCCAAGGCTTTTTCTAATAATTATTATTAAGTAATAAATCATAATTTAAACCATTGTTTAGCCTTTGAAATTCTGAACAAATAAAACAACAGCTTTCCAAACAGTTTTCCCTGTTGCATAACCCTTATGGTGTTTGTGTTTATGGTAGGAAAATAAGAAAGAAACCAGGGAGAAGAGGTTGGTGGGAAGTAAAATAACAGATGTTGCTTGAATTGGCAGTTGTTTCTCTGTTCTTGGTACTTGCTACTAGGGAATTAACAAGGAGAAATCCCTCTAATGAGAGATCAGTTCCATTTTTATCAATCCCTTTAATGAGGGATAGAGAAATCTGATAAGCTGCTGTATGACATATGACCGAAGCTGATGATGAGAATTCATTCAAGAAGTAATTGAGGGGCTTCCCTGGTGGCGCAGTGGTTGAGAGTCCGCCTGCCGATGCAGGGGACACGGGTTCGTGCCCCGGTCCGGGAAGATCCCACATGCCGCGGAGAGGCTGGGCCCATGAGCCATGGCCGCTGAGCCTGTGCGTCCGGAGCCTGTGCTCCGCAACAGGAGAGGCCATAGCAGCGAGAGGCCCGCGTACCACAAAAAACAAAAAAGAAGTAATTGAGGGCCTACATTTTTGCAAACATTTTTACTGGCACCAGGGCTATAGCAGTAAACAAAGTAGACTAAAATTCCCATTCTCACGGAGCTTACATTCTAATCTGTAAACACTTATTTCCATGAGCAGCTAAGGGCTCATCTTTTTTAGAGATTTTATAGCTTGTGACCATTTAACCACAGTGCCTTGCACCTCAACAAATATGTGATGATAGTGAGTTATTAATGGAGGACAGTTTCCTTTTCAACTTTGTTCCTCTGCTCTGAGTGGAAGTAGTAAGGCTGCTAGGTCAGACTGAGTCATTTTCTTTTGTCACATTTTCCTCCACGATAGTCCAGTTAAGCAGATGTTGTGAATATACAGTGCTGCATATCAGCAACAGGAATTCAATGACATAGAAAACTTCAATGGCAACATGTATTGTGTAGTAACTTTTTGGCTTGTATATCATCTTTCCTATTATTACTTTAACGTAGGGATAAAATTGTGACAGTTAATACCTGGTTGAATAAAACGAAGTGGAATGTCTTTTGTTTTGGCCGTGCTGCATGGCTTGCGGGATCTTAGTTCCCCTACCAAGGATCGAACCCCTGCCCCTTGCAGTGGAAGCTCAGAGTCCTAACCACTGGACCATCAGGGAATTCCCTGAAATGTCTTATTTTGACAAAATGACTAGACATTTAATAAGATTCTCTCTCGAAGACTAACTGAAAACCTTTCCGCCCCCCAATGGTATAGTATTGTTTTTATTAATATTAAGTTATGGTAGTATATGATGACTGGTCAATCATTGTTTTTGTATGGTTGAAATGATACAATGGGCGTTTTAAGTATTTATTTTCTTGCAGGTGTTAAATGCTATGCTAAAAGAAGTATGTACAGCATTATTGGAAGCAGATGTTAATATTAAACTAGTGAAGCAACTAAGAGAAAATGTAAAGTAAGTTAAATTAATCAAGTAAAAAACAGGCAAAACTAAATATAGTTTACTGGGATGAGGAGCTAACTAGAAAAGTCTGCCATATTTTGAAATGTTTTTGCTATACAGCACTGGGAAATAACAGAACTCATATGTTGGAAGACTTTGTTTATAGTACATTTCCATTATGATGGTTCAAAGAATAAACTACATGTGGTTTTCATTTAATTATGGATTTCTTTCCATTCTACTACTCCTTTATCTGAATGGATTCAATCGTATACTGTATAGTATTTTAATAGAAAAGCCTGTTAACAATTTAGATGCATCATAGAAAAGTGGTGCCATTTTAATCCTCTTCAGACTAAAGATGACATTAATCAGCCTCCTTTATTATTGGAGAATTATATTCTTTTTTGTCCCCTTTTGGTTTCTCTGTCCATATTTGAATAAAGGAGTAACGTGTGTGGTCTCAGTTATTGTGTTAATTGGGAGGGACACTGACTGGGACAGGGCACATAGAATAATTGAGGGCGCCTCAATTAGCTGCCTGAATCCTAGCCCTTGTCGTGCTCAGGCCATCCCTCCTTTTCATATTGTCAGACTGGGTACTAAATAGAGAACTACTAGCATTTAAGCATTTACACTACAGGAAGTAGTCTTATTTTCTGCTAGGTGTAAACACATATAAATTCTGTATGCTGCCAGAAAAATAAAATCAATACTTTACATTAATATGAGGACAAATTAATATTTGGACTTTCAAAAGAAAGCCTTGAAAAACTAACAAAAGTCTTGCATCTAACATTTCATGGTAAATTCTTTATGGTATGGACTTATGACCCTGTAGTAATTGTATGCATATTAATTAGAATACTATTAATATGAATGACTGAATATTCTTACATTCTTTGGGGCAAAAGCTAATTTTTTTTTTAGAGTGTCTTAACTGACTTTTCCCCCTTCTACCCTCAAAAACCATCATCATGAAGGTCTGCAATTGATCTTGAAGAGATGGCATCTGGTCTTAACAAAAGAAAAATGATTCAGCACGCAGTATTTAAAGAACTTGTGAAGGTAAAAGTATATCTAGCTTGTGCTGTGATTTTCTGTAGACTCACTACATTAGCACTGCAAACAGTAATACTATTTCAGAATACTTTTTTGTGTTTTTATAGAATATTTATCTGTATTAAAAATATTAATTGAAGGATTATTAACTTTTCTGAAGTGGCTTATTTTTATCATAGACTTTCCTGAATACAAAATTCTGAGTACAGATATGAAGGCCAGTATTACTCCTGCAAAAAAATGCCAAAGCCAAGTTACAGAAAGTAAAACTTCACTATATATTAATTGACGGAAGAGCCTCTCTGAGTTTATCCTCTTTTAATATCAAGTTTTGCCTATTGAGTGTCTTGCTTTTGTACAGAAAGTCACTCTTGGCAAGAGTTCTTTTCTACACTTTTATTGTGTCAAAAAGTCCCTTTGAAAAGATCAGATATCCCTATTCTTGCCTAGATTTTAAGCAATTTTGAATTAGTGAAGTTTTATTTTGCAAGTTGTAAATATAGCCTATTGCCCTGTTCACCTTAGAATTGATATTGCTGCTGCTGTTGTGAAAATTATGATGAGAGTCTTAGAGCTTTAGAAAATATGTTTGAGTCCAGTCATAGGGGCAAAAAAGAAAGGAACTAAAAAAAATTTTTTAAGAGCAACAGGTATCTGCTAGTGGTCTCGAGTATTTTTCCCTATATTGTGTGAATAGTTTCACTTAACTCCTTTGGTTCTAGCAGAGCTGATTGGTACTTTGAAAAAGTCTAGTACCTTGGATGGTTGTGTCATTTCAGTTTAGTCCTGTAGACTAATTAATTTAGAAAGAAATTCAGGGACTTTCCCTCGTGGCGCAGTGGTTAAGAATCCGCCTGCCAATGCGGGGACACGGGTTTGAGCCCTGGTCTGGGAAGATCCCACCTGCCACGGGGCAGCTAAGCCTGTGAGCCACAACTACTGAGCCTGTGCTTTAGAGCCCACGAGACATAACTACTGAGCCCACGTGCCACAACTACTGAAGCCCGCGTGCCTAGAGGCCTGCTCCGCAATGAGGGAAGCCACTGCAATGAGAAGCCCGCGCACCCCAGGGAAGAGTAGCCCCTGATCGCCTCAACTAGAGAAAGCCGGCATGCAGCAACGAAGACCCAGTGCATCCAAAAATAAATAAATATATTTATTAAAAAAAAAAAAAAGAAAGAAATTCGGAACCTAAAAGAGGTCAGGAAATTTATCCAGTTTTCCTTCTCAGTTTGCAGTTGAGAAAAGTAAGACAGTTAGTGGTAGACCCAGGTCTGATCTCCAAACTCCTCACAATATTTCCAGATTGTTTTTCTTCTAACACCTGAGGTCAGCACAGGGTGAGGGAACATTTTTATTTTTAGGGGTTGGAATCTTTCGGCAATTCTGGAGCATCAAGTGCTTTGTTAAGATGGCTTTACGGAGTACCTACTTTATTCTAGGCAGTATGCCAAATACTGCTGATAACAAAGATGAAAAAGACTGGGCCTTATACTCAGAAGCTCATGGTCTAGGGCAGTGGTGTAAAAAGCAAGGCCAAAACTGTTTTCATAATAACACTAAGACATTATTTGCGTTTTTTCAGCCTTCTTTACTGCAAAAGCAATGGTGGGTAAAGACACTGGGTAAAACTCCCTAGCATGAATCAAGGCAGTGGTACCAAACTATACTAGTAGTCATTGAACTCCTTCCTCCCACACACTTGCAGTGAAGAAAAAAAAAAAAGCCAGTTTCGTTTAAGAATGTCTTTGATGGAGCAGTAGAGGTTATTAGTAGTATTAAATCTTGACCCTTGAATACACATGTGTTTATACGATTTTGTGTGATGAAATGGGAAGTATGCAGAAAGCCCTGTTGCTTTGTACTGAAATTTGATGGTTGTCTTGAGGAAAGCAAATGTGTAATTGTTTGATTGCAAGCTGAGCTAGCCACTTCCTTCATAGAATGCCATTTTTACCTGAATGAACAACAGACATAATCTGTGGTTATTTACACTTGGGCCTTTGGCAGATATTTTCTCCAAAGTAAATAAAGTGAGCTTGTCACTTTAAGGCAAATAACTAACGGTATTGTAGCCAGTAATGAAATTCCAGCTTTCAGGTGAAAACTAGAAGCTTGAATCTCCACCATGAGTGTCACAGTGTCCCAATATTTAACTTTTCTAGTGAGATCATTATTGATATTAATAAATAAAATGTTTTGATTTTGTATAGTGAAATGTGTCAACAATGGAAGAGCTGCCTGAGTGAACCAATATTCTCTAAGTGATTAATGTATGATGTTACAAAAGCATGCACCAGGATAAGATCGATTCAAAGTCCAAGATAGAATAACAGATTTTAATGTAATATAGAGTATGAAAGTTCAGTACTGCTGTTCTAGGATGTAGGAGGAAGATAAGATATATTTATTTTAAAAAATCATTATTCAATAAAACTTATAGGTTGAAAATAGTAGGTTCATAGAGAGCTGAGTGATTCTGCCATGGGATACAGAGAATGGAGGTGAATATGGGGCCGCATTAGTGTTCTGAAAGGATCTAGGAGGAAGGGCAGTGGATTTATGTTTAAGATAGATTTTGTTCATTTCAACCCTGTGCCTGGGAGGGAGATCACAAAATGTGTTTTCTTTTCTTCCCTTTTCTACCACAGGGCTTTCCTTGAAATTCACGTATAATATGGATTATGTAACCTTTATGGTATCATCTAGCATGGGCTCAGCAAATTTCTCTTAAGAACAAATAGTTTTGGCTTTGTGGGTCATATGGTCTCTGTTGCAACTACTCAGGTCTGGTGTTATAGCACAAAAGCAGTAAATGAATGGGCATGTCTGTGTTCTATTAAAACTTTATTTACACATAGTTGTAAATACGGTCTATGTCATCTGGTCCTAGGACATTAACTACTATTATGGTTTTATTATCATATGGAGATACAGGTTTCAAGCTCCGAACAACTGACTTGGAACTGAATTATTTTTTTAAATGAACTTTAAAAATGCCTCATGCTTGTTTATTTGGGGACTGTCCATATATGTATCAATGCCTTAATTTTCCACTGATTGTCATAAAATTAGTGATTATTTTTTACTAGCACTTTAAATATAATAACTTTATAGAACAGTACATCTTTGGCATTGGAGAATTTAATGTTTGACTGACCTGGAAAGTCTTTCACATGTAATTTGTAATTTTGTTCATATATAAACATTTGTCAAATTGAACATGAAGATAGGTACTGTCCCAATATGGTAGCCATTAGCCACATGTGGTTATTGAGCACTTGTAATGTGGCTAGTCCAAATTGAGATGTGCTGTAAGTAGGAGATACATGTCAAGTTTTAAGACCTAGCATGGCAAAAGGGAATATAAAATATTTTATTAATTTTTAAATATAGATTACATGTTGAATTATAATATTTTAGATATATTGAGTTAAATAAAATATTAATATCACTTGTTTTTACTTTTTTTAATGTCACTACTAGAAATTTAAAAATTCATATGTGGCCTGCACATATATTTTATATTATATTTCTGCAGTGCTGTTGTAGATTGCTCCCTTGGCTCAAACTTGGTCTCACATTCACACTCCAGCTTGTTCTAAAAAATATTTTGAGATCCTTACCTCTGAATTGGTTTGGGAGTTTAGGCTTGCTTATGACTTCACAGTGTACTATTTTAAATTTTTAAATTTCACTACGTGTGTACAAAGGGAAATAGAGTTGTATTAGAATGGTAGGATTATGGTTGCCGCTTATATTTAAATGTCTATAAGTTATTTTTTCAAGTTAAAAGTTGTGGGGAGAGGGGTTTTGAATGTAAGCATAGGTTAACCTGATTTTATTTTTGGTTTGTAGCTTGTAGACCCTGGAGTTAAAGCATGGACACCCACTAAAGGAAAACAGAATGTGATCATGTTTGTTGGATTGCAAGGGAGTGGTAAAACAACAACATGTTCAAAGGTAAATTATACTTAATTAAAAAAACAAAGTCATGGAGAAGATATGTTTGTATAAATCAAGTTTTACGTTAAAGTCAGGATTTGTAGTATTGTTCCTTTAAAATTTTGTGTTGTTTGATGTATCTATTATGTTTTTGTAATAGCTCTTTGTAGGATAAGAGCAAAGAATCCCATAGTCTTTCTCGTGATAGCTTTTTGCAAGAATGGTAGACTTCTATATAACTATGCTGTTTCTTTTACCAAAAAGACTGTTCCTGTCCTTTAAGGAGATGAGGATATGATTTTTGGAGAGGTGAACGTGGAAAGTTTACCTTATCTCCTATGGCTCAAGACTCCCTTTTCACAGTGTCTCACCCAGTGTAATACATATGAATCTTCATTTTGCATATCTTTTTGCTAATTTTAAATTCATTATACCACCCCTTCCTCCATAATTGGGTAACTCAACTTTGTTACCAGATTTTACTCCACAAGCCTCAACTTTGTATAGTTTAGAAAGAAAAAAATAGGAAAGGATTATTTCTTAGGGGGTTATGTTATTGTTTGTATTTAATTAACGTTAATAACATTTTTTACCGTGATCATTTGTTGCTTTATCATTTTATATCCTTCGAATGTGACTGTATGGCACTTAGAATTTAAACTCTTTAGGAAATTTTCTATACTCAGAATTTAATAATATTTTAGGAGAATATGAGCAGTTTTATTTTACTCCTTAAGTAAATAACAAGTGTAAACAGAAACAATTACATGTATAATAAATTTGTATTTATTGATTTTTAAAATCTTCCTTTCCCAGTTAGCATATTACTACCAGAGGAAAGGTTGGAAGACCTGTTTGATATGTGCAGACACATTCAGAGCAGGTATTGTGTTCAAATTTGAAAATTGTTTTCTGAAATTTGTATTTTCAAGTTTGAGGACTCATTAACTCTATTTCATAGGGGCTTTTGACCAACTAAAACAGAATGCAACCAAAGCAAGAATTCCATTCTATGGAAGGTGGGTTCCAGTTTTTATTTTTATACTCATGTTTCTCACCTTATCTGTCTGACTTTATTTAATGCTATCTGGTCACATTTTAATATATACTTATAAGCTTAAATCCTTTCTGGAACAAAGTAGAGTTATAATTAATACATTGTTATCTTTTATTATTGTAACATGACTCTTCTGACCCAGCCTGATAGATCAGAGCAGATGTTGTTTAGTTTATAATTCTGCCTGTACTTATCATCCTGCCTTGCATGCTTTCCAGCATCCTTCTGCTTCTATTCCAGTTGTTTAAGACCTATCTGAAGCATTCCTCCATTCAACACACTGGTGAATTCCATATTGTCTGGTTCTTTAGTACATCATCTTTGAAAGTTTGTGTTTGATCATCCTAAAATGCTTTGTGATCTTTAGTTATCTCAGAGATTCTGATCGTTGCTATCCTTCATTTGCTACATTACTGTTCAATTAGGTGGTTTGTATATGTTAAAATGACTAATTAAAAGAATCGAGTCGAGATTGAATTTAGAAGGACCTATTTGAGGGAATAGCATTTCTCTTAATGTTATTAATATCAATATAAAAAGATTATTAACATAGAAAGCTTAAAGAAGCTAAAATTTGAGGTAATTAAATGAATGATATCATTTTGTTGGTCTTTATTTTCTACTTTTTGGCTGGCCAAGAAAACTGGTGAACTTTAGCTATGGTATGTTCTTTATTTAAATTCTTTTTCTTTTAGTGTGGTTTTTTTGTTTTGTTTTGGTTTGGTTTTGGCCATGCCACATGGCATGCGGGATCTTACTACTTCTCTGACCAGGGATTGAACCTGGGCCCTTGACAGTGAAAGCGTGGAGTCCTAACCACTGGACCACCAAGGAATTCCCTCTTTTAGTTATTTTTTTATTTTTTATTTTTTGTGGTACGTGGGCCTCTCACTGTTGTGGCCTCTCCCGTTGCGGAGCACAGGCTCCGGACGCGCAGGCTCAGCGGCCATGGCTCACGGGCCCAGCCACTCCGCGGCATGTGGGATCTTCCCGGACCGGGGCACGAACCCATGTCCCCTTCATCGGCAGGTGGACTCTCAGCCACTGCGCCACCAGGGAAGCCTTTTTAGTTATTTTCTTATGATAATTTCTAGCAAGTAGATTAAAGAATAATGTTAGGAATTTTATTTTTAGGATAAGAACTTTTTCTTACATAGATTTAAAAATCAAGGGATAATAAACAGCTGTACCTTTAGGGTTCGCAATTTGCAAATGATATAATTTAGCTGATAATTACTTGAACTATCAGCCAAAGCCAGAGCATTGATTTTTAACCAGTATTCTCAGTACCATTTGTTAAATAATCTCTCCTTTGCTTATGTAAACTTAAAAAACATACTACGTATATGGAGTAAAGTATTAGCAGTCATTGTTTCCTCCAGGAGAGATGAAGTAAATGGGGCTGGGGGGAGGACTTGAACTGTATCTCCAATATTAAATTTACATATTAGCATTTATTGGGGGGGGTGGTAGATATGTTTGTTATAGTATCATTTGTTCTTTTTTTAAAAAACACTATTTTAATTAAAAATTTTAAAGAAGTGAAAGCACTAGCAGTTTCACTTCCCAGTTATCAGCTTGTAGCATGTCCATCTGTGCTTTTTTCAGTGTCTATATAAACAAATACACAGACATACATAGATAATTTTTAACTGAAATGGACTCTTATGTGCTTTGTACCTTGATTGCTTTGGTAGTGGTTATATGGGTTGTGTAAATTTGTCAAAGCTCGTTAAAATGAACAATAAAAATAGTGCATTTTATTGTATGTAAACGTACCACTATACAGTTGATTAAAAATGGGATCTTATGACAAGGTAGTTATTACTCTTGGGAAGGAGTGAGGTGCTAATTATGTTGTTTTCTTGATCTGGGTGTGTTTGCTTTGTGAAAATTCACCAAGTTTATAATTGTACAGCTTTTCCACATATATGTTATACTTCATTAAAATGTTTACTTAAAAAATGGGATCTTAATAATTCTGGGCAATATACTGTTTAAGATAATTCTTTTTTATGACATCATTGTATTCCATTAATCAATGCCCTTATGAACATCTTTGATAATATTTCTTTCTACATTTGTAAGTTTTATTTTAATAGTATCTTTATCTTTTTTTTTTTATTTGCATGCATTGGGTCTTCGTTGCTGCACATGGACTTTCTCTAGTTGAGGCTATTGGGGGCTACTCTTCGTTGTGGTGTGAGGGCTTTTCATTGCGGTGCGCGGGCTTTTCATTGCGGTGGCTTCTCTTGTTGCGGAGCATGGACTCTAGGCACATGGGCTTCAGTAGATGTGGTTCGTGGGCTCTAGAGCGCAGGCTAAGTAGTTGTGGCACACAGGCTTAGTTGCTCTGTGGCATGTGAGATCTTCGCAGACCAGGGATAGAACCCATGCCCCCTGCATTGGCAGGTGGATTCTCAGCCACTGTGCCACCAGGGAAGTCCTTCTTAATCATATTTTAAAATAGCTGGTAATGCTAATTTTTGTCTTCTTTTTCAACATTTATTGCTTCTTTCACCTGCTTATTTTCCTGGGAAAATTTTAGATTTTTTTAATCAAGTTCTAGAAAGAAAAATCTCCCTAAAATTGTGATTAGAACTACCGTGAAACCAATTAATTGAGGGGAGAACTGACATCTTTACTATACGTGTATAGTTCCATTCAGGAACCTGCTATGTCTTTTTTGTTAAAAAAAATTGTCCTTAAGTATAATAGTTTTCTTCATTTAAGGCTCACATATATTCTTTTTAAGTGTATTTCTACTTGATTTTTGTTGTTAATTTAGGGGGAAACTTATTTTTTTTTTGCGGTATGCGGGCCTCTCACTGTTGTGGCCTCTCCCATTGCGGAGCACAGGCTCTGGACGCGCAGGCTCAGCGGCCACGGCTCACGGGCCTAGCTGCTCCGCAGCATGTGGGATCTTCCCGGACGGGGCAGGAACCCATATCCCCTGCATCAGCAGGCGGACTCTCAACCACTGTGCCACCAGGGAAGCCCAGGGGGAAACTTTTTGTTAACATTATATGTTTTTTTCATTTGACAGTATTGAACTGTATCAAAAGTTGCCAATAATCAAAAGAAGCCAAATTAAAATGAGATCTCCTTTCTTGATTTTCAAGTTGAATAGAGTTTTGGTTCTTTTGTTTTTAATATTTATTTACTTATTTTTTATTTTGGCTGTACTGGGTCTTAGTTGTGGCACACAGGATCTTCGTTGTGGTGTGCAGGATCTTTTAGTTGTGGCATGTGGACTCTTAGTTTTGGCATGCTGACTTCTTAGTTGTGGCATGTGGACTTCTTAGTTGTGGGATGTGAACTCTTAGTTATGGCATGCATGTGAGATCCAGTTCCTCGACCAGGGATCGAACCCAGGCGCCTTGTGTTGGGAGCTCAGAGTCTTAGCCAGTGGAAGTCCCAAATTAAATACAGTTTTGAGGATTGTGAAAATGTAGTAAAATAGGAATGAAATTAAACTTTTGAGACATTTTCCTTTTAAAAACCAAAAGCCAAAATGATCAGACCGTTTGATCCAATTTCAACTTGTAGGAGTATGTCATAACAATTTCACAGAAACAACATTACGTACTATTCATTTTGGCTATATTTTTAAGACCAAGAAGTTGGAAAACCTTAAATGGCCAACAGTAGGGCATTTATTTAATAAATGATAGCATAGCCATCTGATAGAATGCTACATAACTTAAAAGTCATGTTTTACAAGAATATTTAATTATTTTATAAAATGCTTACAAAAGGATGGCTGTCATCAAAAAGAATACAAAACACAAATGTTGGCGAGGAGAGAAGCGAATCCTTGTACACTGTTGGTAAGAATGTGAATTGGTGCAGCCGCTGTGGAAAACAGTATGGAGGTTTCTCAAAAAACTAAAAGTAGGGCTTCCCTAGTGGCGCAGTGGTTGAGAGTCAGCCTGCCGATGCAGGGGACACGGGTTCGTGCCCCAGTCCGGAAGATCCCACATGCTGTGGAGCGGCTGGGCCCGTGAGCCATGGCTGCTGAGCCTGCGCGTCCGGAGACTGTGCTCCGCAACAGGAGAGGCCAAAACAGTGAGAGGCCCGTGTACCGAAAAAAAAAAAAAAAAAAAGCAGCAAGGGAAAATCAACAAATAATATACAAGGGAATCTCTGTAAGGTTAACAGCTGATCTTTCAGCAGAAACTCTGCAAGCCAGAAAGGACTGGCAGGACATATTTAAAGTGATGAAAGGGAAAAGCCTACAACCAAGATTACTCTACCCAGCAAGAATCTCATTCAGATTTGACGGAGAAATTAAAACCTTTACAGACAAGCAAAAGTTAAGAGAATTCAGCACCACTAAACCAGCTTTACAACAAATGCTAAAAACTTCTCTAGGCAGGAAACACAAGAGAAGGAATGACCAACAAAAACAAACCCAAAACACTTTAAAAAATGGTAATAGTAACATACATATCAATAATTACCTTAAATGTAAATGGATTAAATGCTCCAACCAAAAGACATAGACTGGCTAAATGGATGCAAAAACAAGACCCATATATATACTGTCTACAAGAGACCCACTTCAGACCTAGGGACACATACAGACTGAAAGTGAGGGGATGGAAAGAGATATTCCATGCAAATGGAAATCAAAAGAAAGCTAGAGTAGCAATTCTCAAATCAGGAAAAATAGACTTAAAAATGACTATTACAAGAGAAAAAGAAGGACACTACATAATGATCAAGGGATCAATCCAAGAAGAAGGTATGACAAATGTAAATATTTATGCACCCAACATAGGATCCCCTCAACACATAAGGCAAATGCTAACAGCCACAAAAGGAGAAATCGATAGTAACATGATAATAGTAGGGGACTTTAACACCCCACATTCACCAAAGGACGGATCATCCAAAAGGAAAATAAATAAGGAGACACAAGCTTTAAATGACACATTAGACAAGATGGACTTAATTGAT